GCGCTACAGTCTCTCCATGGGGTTGGCAACGCGGAGATGCTATCGAGCCCCATCTGCGAGGCATTTGTCTCATGAGGCTCAACGACTAAGTGGGACTGCTCGGAGAAGAACGTCCATGCGTTGCTGTTAGTGCATGCTTATGCACGTGGTGATTGGACACAGACACGCACCATCCGATGTTTGCCGGCTATACTCTCGGGGAGAATATGCAGGCTACTGAGTCGCCGAGGAGGAGCCAGCCCATCACGGCAGCGCTCCGATGAAAATTTGCGGATACTGGGGTGTAGCGTACGGGGCGATGCGTTAGCAGTAGAATCTACCCCAACACCCCGGCTTATACGCCGCGCTCAACCAACGCCAGCATGGGACTACCGAATGGGCTACCGACTGCTATTGCAGTCTGGATGGAACCAGCCCCATGTCGCGACCTATACCATGGAGATGGGTATCTGGAGACGCGGAGAGCGGATATATAGTGTGCGCTGTATCCCTTCACTGAAACAGCATCAGCATCTCGCTCTTCGTCTCTCACTATCTGGGATTTGCCTCTACAGACGTATCATCTGTTGATCCTTGGGCTTATATTCTCCTTCGTTCCCAATCTTCATCTTTACCCTACCATCACCATGGGTTTCTTTGGAAACAACGGCTCGCAAGAGCCTACTCTGGACCAAGTCCACGAGCAGCAAGCTCGCCGCCCTTCAGTCGCTGAAGTCGTCGACGAACAGGTTCGCCGCAAGTCTGTCGACAACCGTGTCGTCACTGGAGCTTCCGCTCTCACGGTCCGCCAATCCATCGTTCCCGTCACCTTGGTCACTATCCTCTTCTTCATGTGGGGATTCGCCTACGGTCTTCTCGATGTCCTCAACTCTCGCTTCCAGGTCGCTCTTGACATCACTCGCGGAGAGTCATCTGGTCTCCAGGCTGCTTACTTCGGTGCTTACTTCATCGGTCCTTTGACATACTCTGGATGGTTCCTCCGCAAGTTCGGCTACCGATACACCTTCATTCTCGGTCTCTCCATCTACTGTGTCGGTGCTCTTATGTTCTGGCCTGCGGCTGTCAAGCGAAGCTTCGGTGGCTTCTGCGGTGCCATGTTCCTTGCTGGTTCTGGTCTGTCGACTCTCGAGACTTCAGCCAACCCTTACATTGCTGTTTGCGGTCCTCCCAAGTACTCCGAGTTCCGTCTTGAGCTGTCTCAGTCCGTTCAGGCTGTCGGCTCTGTCGTTGCTCCCGTCCTCGCTGCTCAGGTCATCTTCAAGAATGTTGGTACCGACGGCAAGTCTCTCGAGGCTGTTCAATGGGTCTACCTTGGTATTGCTGGCTTCGTCGGTATCCTCGCCGTTGTCTTCTACTTCGCTCCCATTCCTGAGATCACCGACTCCGACATGGCCGACCAAGCTGAGATGACCACCGCTGCTACTGGTTACGTCGACAAGCCCCTCCGCAAGCAGTACACTCTCTTCTGGGGTACCGCTGCTCAGTTCTCTTACGTCGCTGGTCAAGTTGGTGTTGCTGGTAAGTTTTACACTTTTTCCGAAAATTCCCCAAACTTCCTCAAAATTCCCCCTATCCATCCTACACCCTCACCACATTCTATATCCACTCCAATAGACCTATACTGATATCCTCGTTAGCCTACTTTATTAACTACTTCGCTGAGGCACGCCCTGACCTTTCCGTCACTGAAGGCCACCACGAGGGAGCCAACTTCTACGCCATCGCTCAAGCACTTTTCGCCGTCGGACGTTTCGCAGCAGCCGGACTCATGTACTACGGCGGCAAGCCCCGTTACGTACTCCTCGCTTTCCAGACCCTGATCATGATCTTTATCAGCGCTGCGATCGGCACCAACACTGGCAGCGCCACCCGACCCAACTGGGGAGGTCTCAGCATGCTGATGATCGTCCTCTTCTTCGAGTCCTGCATCTTCCCCATCATCTTCGCCCTTACACTCCGCGGTCTCGGACGCCACACCAAGCGCGGTGCTTCTTTCCTCGTCTCCTCCGTCTGCGGTGGTGCCGTTGGCCCCGTCATTCTCGGCAACGTTGCTGACCGCATCGGAACACGAAAGGCTATGTGCATCCCGCTCATCTTCTTCGCGATTGCCTGGTCTTACCCCATCTACCTTAACATGGTCAAGGGCGCCGAGCTCGATGCTTACAGCGAGAGCCATGTCGGTACTACTGATGGTGCTATTGACAACGACTCTGTGCTTGCTGGCAAGGACGTCGAGGCCCGCATGTTTGAGACCAAGGTCTAAATGTGTGTGCTTTGATACTATTGGGTGGGATTACTTTTGGATTAGATGATACCTATGAGGATTGAACGCTGATAGCGCGGCGTTTATGATGGGATGATCGGACTTCGCTTGGTCGGGCGGAGTCTTGTATATACCACGACTTCTTTGTGCATATATAGACTTGCATACTGTTTATACGAATCACTTAACTTTACCACTTATCTTCTCCTCGTTGAATCCCACGCGCGAGATCTCTCCAGTTGCCTACATTGAATGATGAGAGTTTGACAGGTGCATCTTAATCCCTTCTAAAGCCCACATTATACGACTTCGACTTCCTTGCCATTCGTTCGAAGCAGCGTGGCATTTACATGATCTCGTTGTATCGAACAAAGGCCGCTGTGAACATATTCCCGCCTCGTACATGACAGTCGTGAGCCACCTCACGCATCAGGCCCCTCGTCATCCCTTCCCACCACCACCCCAAAGCTCGCACCATCCACCAGCATCCAAAATTCCGCATTGCTCTGTCTAGCCTTCAACCCCTCAAGACACAGCCCTGTGACCGTAGGCCCCATCAAGATCTCTACACACTGCAGCCTTGGCCAATGGTTCTCTGCCTTCTGCGCGCCGAAGAGATCTTGTAGCCATCTGCTTTCCAAGAATGTCAAGTCAACGTCGAAGATCTTGAGGTGTTGCAAATATATTGGTAGAGCTTGTGTCGGTGAAAGTTCAAAATCGCCCTCAAAGACGGCGTCAAAACGCATGTTGTCGAGCTTGATCGATATGAGCGCTGCTTGAGGGATGACCAGTTTCTTGAGCTGCTCAAATTGGTCGAATCGCGGTAATGGTTTGCGCATTGCACCCGGTAGTGTCCAGAACCCACCCGGTAGCTGTAAGGTTTGCAGATTTGGTCGTAAATGTACCATGCCGTCCACGAGGTTCTGGTAGTCGGTAACTTCGCTCCGCGCATCGTATATCGTTCGATCCCAGTACTGCTCATCCACGTAGACATCGTCCTCGAAAGCAGACGGCCCGGTAGGATAGTATTGGATGTTTGCCTGGTAGGCAGGAAACGCGCGGACACTCCGATACGGGTTCTTACTGTCCGACGGTTCCGCGTAGTATTCTAGTGATTGAAGATTGGGAAAGGCGCGGAGTACGTTCGTCATACACGCTCGAGAGGTGGTATTCCATACGCCGACGGTTCTGACCTCGAAGTCTAGACGGAGATGTCGGATTGTTGGCTGTACACGATGGCCGCTGAGGTAATGCTCGGATGCCATGCGAATTTGCGAGTGTATTTGGCCTTGAAGTCTGATGCTCAGGTCGAGAGTGTGCAGATTGGGATAGTGCTCCAAGCCACCCCCTAATAGCGGCGGTAAGGGGCTTTCGTACTTCAAATAGGATAGCACATGTGCGGTCGGTAGCCTTGAAGCAAAATCTTGTGTTGAAGCGAATTTCTGCCAACGGCGCGTGTCTTGGAAATGCGCCTCAGCGAGGGTAAGATTTGAGTATGGGTCGAATATGCACAAGGTCGCAATATTTGGTAGCAGAGCCAAGAACACGGAAGCTGAAGCATGTGCGAAGGTGCCCTTCAGTTCTGCAATCTTCCCTGTTTTCCACCAAGCAGGTAGGTCGAGGGAAGCGACGATATCACGCGCCTTCTCGTAGACGAGGTAGTTCACATGAGGCTCTACTGGACCTCGACCATTAAACTTCATGATACCACGATCTTCCGACGGTAAGCATAACCTCAGCTGCTTTATATGTCGTTTCCATTCCGGTCGTGCTTGCAATCTCCAGATCAGGCCGTAGATGTCCGAATTGGAAAGCTCATTCAATGTTCCTGGGAAGCCGACCTCGAGCACGAGCGAAGAAAGCAGGACTTCGCGAGCCAGAACCGTGAACCTCTTACACGTCAATGCAATGTTGAGCAGCGAGCGAGAATTAGCGCGAAAATCGGAAACGAGATACTCGTCCGGAGAGCTTGGAGGGGGATCATCCGGAATATAGCCCAATACACGGATGGACCTATGCAAATCGACATGCGAAAAGACTTGGAGTAGTATCTCGTTTGGTAGAGTAGTCAACGAGCTGGTGCTGTCGCCTGGAGAGCATTAGATGATGACGTAGTAAGGCGAATGTTTAGCACACTCACTTCTGGATGTTTGAAGCGGTGGCAGCCGTTCCATTGTGCAGAGCCGTTCTCTAGATGCACCAATTTGATGGAGTATAGGGTGATTGAGATGGGCTGCATTGCACTGCTGCAAGTGCTCGCTGTGCCGCACAGCATGTCATTCAAGCTAGTCCGGAATTAGCATGGCGGTTTTCCACCCGTGGACGGCTCGGCCTCCCATCATTCAGGCGCGCAACACCAGATTACCACTGGGAGTACACCCAAACAACACTTCAGTCTGCATCAATTAGCAATAGGCGGGGCGGAGAACCGGTTGCGCTTAGAAAACTCTGCAACGCAAGATGTCAGAGGGTGGGACTTGCTTTTTTCGATGCGTGCCTCAGAAAGCGATTTGTCGCGATCGCGACGCGACGCGTGGCGGGGAAGGACCCAGCAATATCTCCGCGCACCGCCAGAAAGCCGTCTCACCCATTGACAATCTATGGTAGCGAAGACAACACACTCAAAATATCTCCTCCGAAGTTCTACTCACTAGAAAAGGATAGTCTGCATACCTGAGTACCTACGTACTGAGGTCAGTTCGGCTGGAATAGAAGCGGTTACAGTAGCATATCCACAATGGCGGCCAACAACCTACGAAGCACTTACCAGCAATACAAACACGATACAGATGTCGTGGCATCATGGCGTAAGTTGCGGTTAGAGTTACGAGAGATGCACGCGCTAATTCCGCTCTCCTGTAGTCGCGACTACAGCCAAGTCGTTTGGCTACAACAAGCCCCTCGAACCACCTGCTCCTGCGGAACAGAAGACGCAAAGACTCAAAGGCAAAGCCAGAAAAGCCGGAAATACTGCGCAGAGTGGATCAGACAAGTAGACGTCTAGTCCGAAATACACCCTTGCTATCAAGGATTTCGTACCTTTGTCTGCTCACATCGCTGGTGTCAAAGGCAGCAACGTAGAGGTTCCAGACTACTTCAACGTTGCACTTGATAGAGTGATCTCTGTTCGAAGTGCTTTCTCGAAAAAGCTGGCAGCTGCCGGCGAAGCCGTCGACAAGCCGTCTGATGACCGTCACAGCTTTTTTGTCACTGTCTTGGAAAGCGTGCGCGACGCACTCAAGCCTTTGATACGGACCAATGCACTCGATCTCAACAGCATCAAGAATGCTACGCCAAGGAGTGACAAAGACCGAATCAGACAGACTAGAGTTCGCAATGTCTTCGAGGTCTTGGATGTGTATGAGCCATCGGCCGAGTTTCTCGCTGCACCAGATGTCGCACCTCCGCCGAAGCCTGTGGAACTGGACTACACTGCTGAAGTGTGGAACGACTCCGTCATTGAAGCCTTCATGGCAATGACCATGTTGATGGATGACCTCTCTCGCCTTCGTGCTGAGATTGCAGACCTGTGGGGTCGACATCATGCGGGAGAACTCGACCTGGCAACTGTGTCGGTAGCGACCAACACAGCGATCCAGCTTGCGCACAGCATGGAAGATGAAGTCTACCCAGTGATCAAGCATCTGGTCGAAAGCGTGCCATTCCACGAGGTGTACTTCTTGGCTATCGCCAAAGAAGCTGGCGCTGATCCCGAAGCGAAAGGCTGGTTCTGCTGGTCGGACGACTATAACTTCAAAGCCTACGACATCGCGAATGCCCTGTTTGTCAACGCCCGTTATGGCCTCCTGGTCTACCTCAACAATAACATGAACGGGCACATTATGGACTACAATGGCAAATGGGGTCGATTCGACGAAAATGAAGGCCCACCACCTAGAACGAACAGGGAAAAGTATGCTCGCGATAAGTCGACATTGCAAGAGCTGTTTCAGGATCTTCCCTTGCTACACAATCATCCGATGGTGATTGAGGATCAGTTTGTCATCGCTTTCGATGCTGCGCGGAAGTCCTTTGCAAGGGAAAATACAAACAAGCAACCACCCATCTGGATGTGCTTTGCTTTTCAAATATATCTCGACATTGTCTACTCTACCGAGGTTGGTGCGGGTTGGACGCAGATGCGCAACGAGTTTACTACACTTCAGAGATATGTTGAGGTCTACCCTAGAGCTTCTTCCGACATGAGAAAATTGGTCGAATCAGTTGAGAAGATCATGAAGGTCGATCCTCTCGCACTTGTCCGGGCGGCGTTTACCTCTCCCTACAAGGACTATACCATGTGGCGTCGCAACCCCACACATTGTGGTCTTTGGTAAGTCCTCACAGTACGATGTACATGTGAGACGTATACTGACTTTGTAACTCCAATATTGCAGGATCCATTATGCACGAACCGTCTTCCATAGAGAAGCTGTCAAGTACGCCGCAACACCCGGTGCGGTCATGTGCGCAACGCAATTATACCATGCCTTGCGCCAGACTGAGTTTCTTTCGGAAGAGTGGAAGGATCTTCAGACGCTGTGGGATATGCAAGGAAATTCGGCTTGCTTGATTGGCGAGCCCCCTAAAGACTTTGAGGGACATTGGAAGAACTACCTCATGGCTATTGGTGCTTCAGCAACGAACTGGGCAAGTTCGAAGAGGAACACGAAGGTCAAGGAAACCAAAGCAAACGCACGTTTGTTGAAGTTCAAGGGTCCAGTATCGGCCTGGATGGCTTCACGTATTGCAACAAATGGCGACGAACGACTCATCACAGCCGAAGCCATTGAAGACGCGATCAAAGACGGCGCATGCCATCATTCGTCCCTCGCCGCCGTCGCACCTACCATTCAAAGGCAAACCCACGTCATCCAGAAATTAGCCACTGCTCTCCACGCCGAGGCTCCAGAAATCACGTTCGATTACTTCACCATGCACGACCTTTGCTGGGAGTTGATGGGGAGGATGAAAGAACAATTCAGTCCCATCATTGCTGCCAAATCTGGAAAACAGTAGGAAGCACAGAAGAGCAACATGCCGTTTGTTGTTGGCTTTGTCTTTTCTACGGCCGCGGGCAAAAAGGATATCGAGACGGACGGTGTGCCTTCGGAAGAGCTGTTGAAGATCGCTGCGCAGGTCACGGGGAAGTTCTTGGAAGAAGGTAAAGGTAGTGTGATTACCGAGACTGGACGCCTGGAAGGACATTTCGACTCATTTGGGACAGACCAACTGGATACGTGGAAAGCCGAGGTGAGAGACAAAGTCGGCCCTGGGGTCCGTGCGATGGATTGAGTGAGAAGGTCATGCGCAAGTGAGCAGTCTTTTATGAATTATAACTTTCTATCTCTACTTTACTACCCACTGCTCTCCATTGCACCTTCTTAACGATCATCAACTCAGAAGATATGACGCCAGCTCCGCCTACAACTCCCCATGCCTGCTTCGTCTGCAAACAGCCTGCTGAACAACGCTGTTCCACCTGTAGTAACGCACGCTACTGCTCTACCGCCTGTCAAAAGAAAGACTGGAAGATGCACAAGATGCTTTGCAAGTCCTTCGCAGATCTCGAGCCACGACCCGGTGCAACCTTCTTTCGCGGTCTCCTCTTCCCCGGAGATGAGCCTTTGCCGCGTTTCGTCTGGATCGAATACGGCAACGTCAAGGACTTCGGATCAATATCCTGCGAGCCTTTCCTCGGTCGCAACATGTTGAATCACATATCACACACCTGGCCCACCCTCAAGCGCATACCCTCGCACCGGGTCGGTATCTACTATCATGACAACTACATGAACGAGAACCTGCCCACCACTCCGAGTTTGACCAAATCGCTGAGCCCAGCTGCAGGCAACTACTTCCGTGGACCTTTTCTAGCCCACGGCTACGAGAATGGCATTGAGCTTGACGATGAGTTCGAGTCTGGTGAGGGAGGATCCTGCGATCTTGACACGTCGGCTTTGGCTACTCTGTTGGCGTTCTTCCAGGCGCAAGGTACCGTTTATCTTGATAGGAAGAGGTTCGGCAAAGGATTCTCCCATCCAAATATCATCGAGGTGCGCTCCGATGCGGACTGAGAGTCGGTCGCTCCGGGAAAAGGGCCGAACGTGGTGGAGCTATCGGGCTTGTCGACACCTGGGGTAACATGGCCTTGCAAGTGCGTGGCGGCCTGTCGCATGGACATCCTTCTCGGTATTTCATCTTACTCATTTCACGAAATGGTTTTCTGGTCTCGAGAATGCGCATTGTAGTTACTGGCGTAACGTGGGGCAGGCAATGCCGTCACTGGTTGATGTTAGCACCTGCTGCATTGAGCAAAGCCCCGCACTATCTGCATAGGGCGTGCCGGCGGCTATCATAGGTATACATCATCTTAGCAAAAGTCCTGAAATCCTCAATACTGTATCTTCAATTCACGTCGCTCTTGATAATCCGACATTAGCATCATGACGTTCGATATCTCGAAAGCTCGGGAGCGCTTCCCCGCACTTCAGCAAGATCAGGTCTTCCTCGACAATGCCGGCGGCAGTCAGGCATTGGGTGATGCGATTGACTCGTCAGTTGATTTTCATATCGTGGGTACATAGAAAAACTGATATGAGCCTAGGATAGTGCAATACCTCTCCAAGACCAACGTTCAGCTCGGCGCTTCATACCATACTGGCACCCAGTCGAATACGAAGTACGAGGAGGGCTACCAGGCAGCTGCAAAGTACATGAATGCTGGGCGCGATGAGATTGGTAACGTAGCCTCTAGCTCATTCACACTCCTTTGCTAACGACCACCAGTTCTTGGTGCTTCAACAACCCAGCTCTTTATGAACCTCGGCTCATCCCTGCAATTTCCTTCCGGCTCTGAGATCATCCTCTCGAAGATGGAGCACGAGACTAATGCGAAGCCCTGGCTCTTCATGGCCGAGCGCCTCGGTTTGACTGTGAAGTGGTGGGCGTCTCCAAAGGAGGATGGTCTCAAACTCACAGCCGAGAACCTCAAGCCGCTGTTGAGCGACAAAGTGAAGTTCGTAGCATGCACGCACGTGAGCAACATTCTGGGGACGATCCATGATGTGAAATCTATTGCAGAGGCGGTGCATTCGGTTGGCGCGCTGTTCTGCGTGGATGGAGTTAGCTACGCGCCGCATCGTGCGATTGATGTGAAGGATTTTGGAGTCGATTTCTACGCATTCAGTTGGTACAAGGTTCGTCCGGCATCTACTCTACTTCCTTGTCAGCGGGTACTGACAAAATGACACAGGTCTACGGCCCACATGTCGCCGCTCTCTACGCAAGCAACTCAGCCCAACAGCACATGAAACCATTGGCCCACTTCTTCAACCCCACGAAGACCCTCGAAGATAAGATCGGATTCGCAGGCTCAAACTACGAGTGCGTGCAGTCCATTCCGACCATCACGGCTTACCTCACCGACGCTTTCCCCGCCATCACTGAGCATGAGGGAAAGCTGCAGGCTATTCTTCTCGACTTCCTGAACTCACGACCAGATGTCACGGTCCTGGGTTCTACCTCGAGCGATAGCAAGGAAAGAGTACCAACGATCTCGTTCACGGTCAAGGGCATAAGCAGCAAGGCGATCGTGGCTGAGGCGGAGAAGATTAGTAACTACGGGTTTAGGTGGGGACATTTCTACTCAAAGAGACTTTGCGATGAGTTGCTGAAGCTGGAGCCGGAGGGAGTGACCAGAGTCAGTATGGTGCATTATAACACAGAGGAGGAGATCAAGGGATTGGTTGAGGTGTTGAAGAAGGTCCTCCCGCAGGTTTAGAGGAAGACGCGACGTCGATGCCAAGGTCTGTAGTAGTCAAGTATACATTTATACAGTTCATATTAGTCAAAGTATGACTTGACTGCTATGGTAAGCCCTTGCCAAATAGCCACCACGAAAAACGACCATGACGGAAAGCAATCCGAGAGGAACCCATCGCCAGTGAAAGGCCTTCTAGATTACTTCTTCCAGCCACTGCTCATGAGCTCTCCAGTAGTTGAGTGGCGTCTTGAACCACATCAACTCTCCACATCTTAGGAGACAGGCGTCTTTCATAGAGGCCAGGACTACTGAGAACGTCTAGCATGCGAGCAGTGCAATCTGCTGTTACCGAGATTCGAAGCATGCCGGGAACAGAAGAGGGACACGCGGCTGAAATTTCGATCAAGGTTCCGATAAGGGAGGACCAGTCATCGCCGTGGTGAGCCAAGAAGAGATTGCTGTCGTTCAATATGAGATGCATAACAAACGTTCCTTTTCGCAGAGAAAGTATTGCCCGCTTCATGAACTCGAATGTGACAGCCTTGTTGTCGCAGTGTGTCGGAGCATCTTCCCAGTCATTGATGAACTGGCACTCGATCCACTGATTGAGACTAAGCAGAGTCGATCGATGCATTTCGCCAGAACTGCAACTGTGTAGTTTATCTTCCTGCTGAGCTACCCCAAACCAGTACATGAGATCATTTAACAGATATTCGGTCCGATTCAGGTGCTGTGACAAATCGACTGGGCTGCTGTTCGCAGAAACATCGACGGTAATTGATGGATGTATCTCCAAACAACCACGCTCTATGATAGAGTAGGCTTCCTTGCGAACTAGTCGACTGGCTCTCAGTATTCCCACAGAAGGCTTTGTATGGTATATTTGCAGGCGAGGTCCGGCAAGTAATCGAGTTACGGGCATGGCCACCAGCTGATCATAGACGCAAAGACGTATATCGGCGGGTAATCGCATGAACGGAAAGGTGTTGGATCCAGTATTGCTGGTGACTGAGGCCTTCATATGGTCATGCGCAGCATGCGACTGCTTGTCGGTGTCGTCGGGTGAGGGTGAAGTTGTTTGGTGTGTGTTCTTTTCTTTCGATGGGTGCGTAGAGGAGCAGTAGTGGGCATCGCTGGTCTCGTCGCAAACCTCCCGATAGTTAGCAATGCAAGAACCCAATTAACATTCTTAAAACATACCATATTAAGGAGATTTTTGTTCGTAACAGAAGGCTGATCTGCATCGGTACCTGGAGCAGCAGGATCCTCCGGCAAGCCGATTTCAGTGAGTGACATGTTTGGTGTTTTGGCAGCCATTGCGATGTTGGTGGGTCGGCCGTGGTGTAGTATCGGTGACGAGGCAGGACGGGTGTGCGAGTCTGAGAACTAGCGCCACCGGAAACTTACCTAGGTAGTCATCTCCACGCTCACCTCGACCACCGCAGTAGCGCACAGACTCAATTATATAAGCGCGAGCGTTGAAGTGAGAGACACCAATGCATGCATAGCAAAAGTACACTGCGAAGAAATCAGTCATCTTACGAATTATAAACTGCCGCCAACTCTACGCTTTCAGGTTTCGCCAAACAGCCGTCTCAAATCTTGCGACGAGATCGAAAGTCTTGCGATCTGCCCAAGGTGACACCTGCGTGGCAAAGAAAAGCGCGATCCCCCTCTCACGGTTGACGCTCCATTGTAGATTCGGAAGTCCTGACCAGCATAATGTACCCTTTGGCTTGAAGTAGTCCTCTCGATCCACATCTTCCATCAACAACAGGCTACCCAGTCCGAAGTTCGGTTTGACGCCTTCCATACTGGCGTCCAGCGTGCAAGTATAAGCGAGCTCAGCGTTATCGACGAGTGCCTTGGCTGCGAGACTGTCTTTGGGGAACTGCGGGCTGAACATGGCGTCGACCATGGTTTTGGAGAGGATGGTAGGCGATGGTTTGAGGAGATCGGAAAGCACGCGCGTGTAGTCGTACACATTGGCGTACAAGCCCGCTCCACCACCTTCTCCAACAGGATCGCCAGACCAAAAGGGTGTTGGGCCATCTGTGAGACTGCCGTCGTCTTGCCGAGTGCTCGTGCGCATCAGCTTTTCTTCCACTGCGGGCTTGCGATTGAGATGCCAGGTAAATGAAGTTATACCGAGAGGCTTCGCGATGTTGGTTTCGACATATTCTTCGAAGCTCATGTTGGTCAAACGCGTGATGAGCAAACTGGTCCAATCGAAACCACCGCTGTATTCCCATCCTTCTCCAGCTTCGAAGGTCCGTGGATAGGCATACTTCTTAGCCACGTTGCCATCGGTTATCAGAGCGGGCAGCTCGCCGCGTGAGGCTCGCCACGCGTAAAGACTTGGAGAAGCCCAGTCTACAAGTTGGCGAAATCAGTCCATGCTGTGTGCTGTCCGTCTAGAAACACTTACCGTACGTCGTGCCACTGGAATGCGTGATAAGTTGACGCAGCGTGATAGACTTCGTGGCTGGACGCACTTTGATCTCGGAGCCTTCCATCTGAACGATGGGCTGGGAAGCCAGTTCTGGTAGGTACTGATCGACTGGTTCATCTAGCGTGACTAAACCGTGTTGAACGCTTTGCAGGGCAGCAATAGCGGTGATGAGCTTTGTGCAGGATGCAATGAAGAAGGTTTGATCGAAGTCCATAGGCTCCGCATCTTCAGTGACGCCATTGTAACCTGCGGTCTTCTTGTAGATGAATTTGCCTGCAGCACGTGTGAGATACGTATATTTGGAGATAGTATGGGGAAGGTACCATCCTTATCGACGACAGCCATCACCGCTCCGGGCACAATGTCGGAGCCTTTGGCAGTCGCCTTCTCGAGGTATCTCTCAAATGCGTCCATTGAAAAGGAGTAGAAGCAAACAATCTTGGTCGAGTGGCCGCTACAGTAATCTTCGAGGAGTTCGAGTTGTTGTGTGGGCGTTTCGTCCTGGTAAGATGACGACAACTATTTATGCAGTTGCTATTAGGCCACCATCCTTCGTTGACTAGCATTCATATCGCATTCCAAGCCACAAGACAAGGTAGCCGTGATTTATGATGAGCGTTAGCAAATGTTCATGTAGTTGAAGGGTGGGGGCGAAGGCTTATGTCCGATCGCCGTGCAGCGAAAAGGCATCGAAGCAATTGGTCTCGTGAAGCCAGCCAACTTTGCCTGTAGTGTCCGTTCTCGTACCATATCGAGTCTACCGTGGCAATCACGGGCAAGATGGATTCCCCGCCAGGCAATACGTGAAAAACAAACCGATCAAGTCCTCTCATCAGTTGTCTGCTTCGTCTTCCAGAGAG